GAAGTCATTTAAGGTTGATTCTTTCCTTGTTTGGAAGTCAACCTCCCACCCAGCGATGGGAAGCTTGTACCCATCGATGGGTAGGTAACCGTTGGCTTCAAAAACTGAAGGAAAATTGGCTTACCAGCGATGGGTACGTTCCAAAGATCGATGGGAAGCCAATATCCTGCAGATCCCAAATCTATTCAATCCCTTAAATCAAGCCAATCACCCCTTTAATGAATTGGTCCGTTGGAGCCTATTTTGGCACTATAAAAAGGGGTGTTTGGGTCTGCTTTTCTCATCAATTCACTTCACAATACTCATATCATCATTGCATTAAAACAACATCATTTTCATAGCTTTCTAGAGCCAATTTGTGAAGTTTGAGTTGTTCTTGAGCGTATATAGTTTACTCAACATCTACTCTAAAAGAGAGCCTTGTTCTTGAGTGTCTTAGTACAATCGACTATCAGGCCACGCTGGACTACTCAATTGATTCAGCACAGCGTGATAATCGAGTTACAGGATAGTACAATCGACTATCAGGCCACGCTGGACTACTCAATTGATTCAGCACAGCGTGATAATCGATTATCACATATGTGATAATCGACTATCTGGCCTTGCGGATTCTTGAGTCAGAGCTGGTTCACCTGATAATCGATTATGACATAGGCAATAATCGATTATGAACATAGGCTCTCTGAACTTAGGACTTTCTGAACAAACCAACTTGACAATCGATTGTCATAGGGTGACAATCGACTATCATAGTCTGTGGGACTTTGGGGGCAGAAGCTGCACAGCATGATAATCGTTTATCAACAGTAGACAATCGATTATCAGTCAGTTCTGAACCTAAGGCCATCATGTTGAACAAATTGTAATCAAACCCATATGTATGCGTTAAATTTAACTTCTTTCTTCAATCAATGCATTCAATTCATCATGTTCATCCTAGACGTATGTCCTAGGTTTATCATCATGTGCATACCGCTGTAGGGAGGTCAGGCTTTCGTGCGCCTACTACAGTGGGCCCGTCCAGGAACCTTCGGGATCCAACGGGTTTTCATGAAGTGGGCTTTGTGTACGTACATGGTAGTCAGGCTACGGCTACCACCCGGTTTTTGCTAGTTCAGTTGCGACGTTTTGTCGAGCCCGGGTCATTACCGGAGTGCAGGGGTGATCCAATCAAGTGAGACTAAGTCAGGGGTGTGCCTAATAGCATAAGTCATGCATCAAGTCATATTTTCATCATGTATGTTTCATGTCACGTCAACATTCAATGTGGTTGTCATCATCATGTATGATTCCCATCATGTCCATATTCAATGTGGTTGTTATTCATTTTGTTATGTGTAATAACATCCCATCAAGTGCAAATTAATAAGTTAGCAAACATGTGGTTTTCCGTACGTTAAGTACAGGTATTTATATGTGTATAACCATATGGGTTATCACTTCATGTTCTTTTGTTAGATTCACTCCTGAGCTTTTGCTGAGCGTGTAGTTGTTTTGCTACACGCAAGTAGACATGACGGTGCAGGTGCTAACCCTGGAGGACAGTGATGGTGGGAAGATGGGCGGCGCATGGACAAGTTCAATAATTAAATACATTTAATTAATTAATCATTTGGGCATGAACCCACCATTTGTCGTTTTACTCATTTATTTACTTCCGCTTTTACTCTGCATTTATATCACACACGTTATGGGGTTAACTCCCTAGCATTTATTTCACTAATTAAAACACAACCGTTTTCAAATACAAATAATCATTAATGTTTTTTTGTAACGGACGGTTCTTGGACTGTCCATGTAACCCTACCGGTCCGTCGGGTCGCGGGTGAACCGGGTCCACGGAAGGCGGGTATTACAAGTGGATTCTACCCAGTACAAGCTCATCTCTAACTGTAACAATGCCAAGGAAGCTTGGGATGTTCTCGAGGTCACGCATGAAGGAGATGAGGAAGTAAAGACTGCCAAGTATCAAATTCTTATGACTCAATATAAAAATCTGCGTATGGATGAGAAAGAGGAGATCACTGCATTTCATGGGAGAGTTAGAGATATTGCAAATCAGGCCACACGTCTGAATGAGCCCGGCCCATCCCAGAAAACAAGTTGGTAGTCAAGGTGCTGAGATCACTTCCTAAAGAATATGAAATGGACGTCAAAGCATTCAAACGTTCTCACAAGATTAAGACCATGACTCTCGATGCACTTATGGGAATATTGGAATCAATTGAACTCAACATGGCAGAGGACAGTAAACAGCGTAAACCTGATAGGCAGATTGCATTTCCCAGTACTGAGGTTGAAGATGACCGTGATTGTGATTTGTCACTAGATGAAGATTTCCAAGAGCAGTTATCCATTTTCACACGGCAGTTCAAGAAACAATGGGCTCAAAAGAGAGCCAATCAAAGACTTGAAGGTACGTATAAGGGACTCTCACCAAAAGATGCAAAGTATAGAGAAGAAAAATACACAGATAACCTTAGCTATACGAAGAAAAATGGGCCACAGTGCTTTGAATGTGCTGGATATGGGCACATCCAGTCTGAAAGTGCAAATAACCTGAAGAAAAAGAGACAAACATTCAAAGCAACATGGAGTGATGAAGAATTTGAAGATCAGAGTGATTGTGGAGAATCCAACTGCGCATTCGTTGCTAGTGTTAATTCAGGAGATGATGACAGTCTTGCAAAGCAACTAGAGGACCTGCAAGAAAAGCGGTCAGAGCTCTTAATGGTGAACAAAAGGAATATAGCAGACAAAAACAGGCTACTTTCAGAAGTTGATGCATTAAAACAAAGGATTGAAGGACTTAACTGTAAGATTGAGGAACTCGAAGGAGAAAAATCAGACTTACTATTCGAGTTAAACCAACTGAAATCCTATCAAAAATGGATTAGGGTCGCTGGAGCAGATGTGCTAGATCATCATTCACTTATGGCAAAGCCACCTGGAGACATGACCTGCATTGGATATTCAGACAAAGGAAAGACTTCAAAATCCCTTAAAGTCAAGTTCGTCAAAGAAATCGAAGGAGTATCATCTGCTAACGGTCATCAAGCCAAGAGAAATCATCAACAACTTTCTCATAGAAATTACTATCACTATTATATCTGAGTTGATCAGACGAGTGCAAGAGAAAGGTGCGTGGGAATCTGTGAGGGAGGCTACTGATATGTTGGCGCAGACTGCTAACTGCATAAGGGAAACAACCAGGAAAGTGTTAGGTGTGAGCTCTGGTTTTGGGAGTAGGCATCAGGGTGATTGGTGGTGGAGTGATTCAATTCGAAGTATGGTGGAAGCCAAGAAGGTGGCATATCTGAGGTAAATGGATTGTAGTGATGAGGAGGAAAGAGCGGCGTTACGAGTGGAGTACAAGAAGGTACGTAAACAAGCTAAGTTAGAGGTTACGAGGGCAAAGAATGTCGCCTTTAAACACCTCTACAAGGATATAGAGGAGAAAGGCGGTGTTAATCAACTGTTCCGGCTTGCTAAGGTGCGTGAGAGGAAGGCCCGAGATCTAGACCATGTGAGATGCGTGAAGGGCAGCGATGGTGGAGTGTTAGTTGAGACTACCAAGGTGGCTAAGCGCTGGGGGGAGTACTTTTGTGAACCATTAAATGCGGGAGGAGACTAGAGGCTAGTTCTTGATGAGCTGGGGCAGTCCGAGGCGTCTCGTGACTTTGGGTATTGCTGGCGCATTTACTTAGAAAAGGTTGCTCGGGCTCTTCGCGGGATGCGTAGTGGGAGAGCTTTGGGACTAGATGAGATTCTGGTTGAGTTTTGGAAGCATTCGGGTCGTGGTGGGTAGGTTTGGTTACCCAAACTCTTCAATGTTATCTTCCGGACAGCTAAGATGCCTGATGAGTGGAGGGAGAGTCCCTTAGTCCCTCTGTTTACATTCAGAGTTGCGAGAATTACAAAGGAATCAAACTGCTCAGCCACACCATGAAGGTTTGGGAGCGTGTCATTGAGTATAGGGTGCGGAAGGGGTACGCATTTCTGAGAACCAGTTTGGTTTCATGCCTGGCAGATCGACTACAGAGGCCATTCACCTTGTGCGGAGCTTAATGGAAGAATATAGGGCTAGGAAGAGGGACCTTCATATGGTGTTTATTGATCTTGAGAAGGGGTACGATAGGGTGCCAAGGTAGGTTTTATGGAGGTGCCTTGAGTCGAGAGGAGTTCCCATTGCAAAAACTCGCGCGATCAAGGATATGTACGGTGTTGGAGTTGTGCCCTGATGGCCAACTGTTTATCGTTATTCTATCATGTAAAGGTAGATATAATATGTTTACACATCTCATGCTAATGTAAAAAAATATTATATTCCTAGATTTATATTTAAAAGATGTTTTTCAGATAGTGTTTTTCTGCTGATGAGACTAACATCTTGAAATAAATATTTATCTGAATGTCCATAGTCGAGTATTAACGAGAGTAGGATATCGTTAATGCATGTGAGACTAGTATGTGTTGGATGTTTGACTTTGTCTCATATTCAATGACGGTGTGTTCGCATCCGCACATGGGTAGATATTATCAGTAGATAATAGGATGCCGGACTAACCCATTCTAAAGATGTTGCTTGAACTTTTAGTTCATGCTCTAAGCATCTATAGCGCGACCACGGGTGTAACTATCCTTTGACTTGAAGTATTACGCTTTCTGCATATGTAAACCCGCATGCTTTGATGCATTGTCCTAAGCCATATGAAATAAGGATGGTATACATGCTTTGTTTTGGGTATGCCGCATCGCATATTCAGAAATGTAGATTACGTACATTGGATTTGTCACTACTCTTTTTAAAGAGATTAATGTCTTTTGGGGCCCACTGATAAGTTATGACTGAGGAAATTGCATGGCCATGCTGAGACGTTTTTACGACGCCTGTTCCTATCAGTCAAACTTGATAAATCAGTGAATGACTTAATGGATACAAGCTGGATTTTATTAATCTCTTGCATTAAGTTTAGACATTGAGACAAAGGGATACAATTACACGGAGTCTGAGTCGTGGAAAGGTTTTGACGGTGCAAACGTCTTAACTTATTATCCGAGGGCAATAATGTGTTGCTAGATACCGTTTATTACTTATAGTATTGGTGCATAGCCAATACTGAGGCCAGCTTTATAAGTGCCTATATGGGTCACAAACTTTGGACAATTTAAGGAGTATGATTAAACAATGGGATAATAAATAATTTGTATATTTGTAAAATAGTAAAATATAATATTTTGGAATATAATATTATATATATAAATATTCTGTTATATATATATGTTATATATATATGTGCCGATTAATATATATATATATATATATATATATATTGAATATTTTATTTTGGTGTGTAACTTTAATTATGAAAAATAATTATTTTGATATAAAGTATTTGAAGTATATTTGTATACTTGTTTAAAATGATATTGGTAATTTTATTTGATTTAAAATTAATTTTATATTAATTTTGGTGTCAAATAAAATACACTTTGAACATTTGAGTGGAGAAGAATTTAACAGATGCTTCTCACAATCATGTTTCGGCCATATGGATTTCAAGGTTGACAATTTGGTACTCCGTATTATGTTACTTGATTGATAAATTAGTGATTTGTAATTGATTTGGTAATTTGTCATTTTATGCATAATAAAAGTCCATTATTATACCCACTTTCTTACTTGAATAAAAGAGAACACATTCTTCAATTTGGCTTAAGGAATTTTCGGCAACTTCATTTCTAGAGAGAGAAAGTGATTATTTGGGGTTCCATTAATATCATTTTGTGTATAGAAAATATCTATAATATTTTAAATATTATTAGAAATATTTTCTATAGAAATTTACAAGACTATTATTATCCCAATTTTAATCTTTATATTTTATACTACAATAATCTTTACTAGCGTAAAGATTGTGGTAGACTCCGGCGTTGTTCGTGTGTCAAAGTTGGAGACCGGATGCTTGAACGGTTATGTTTGCACTTTCAACGCTGTTCCTACGACTTCTTCATTTTTACCGCTTACACAGAAAGGTATAAATTTCTTACTACTATAAGTTTTAGTATGCAATTCGGGGCAAGACATATAATCATGTTAGGATGTTAAAATTTTTATATTTCGCTGCCTATCCTTGTATGGTTACCTTTCAGTGGTATCGGAGCCAACGTACAAAACTATAGTTTTAAGTTTGACTTTTTAAATTTTAAAAGTCAAAGTTTTAACTTGGTAATTATTAAAATTAAAAATTAGTAAAATGGTTTAATTTAGTCTTGAAATAAGTACTTGACTTTAATAAATTATTGAAAATGAATTTTAAATTTAATTTAGTCTTTAATTTAGTCTTGAAATAAGTACTGGACTTAAATAAATTGTTGAAAATGAATTTTAAATTTATTTATTTTTTTTCTACCTGATATATATATATATATTGATTTTTCGAAATATATATTTATATATATTGTAGAAATAGTAAATATAATTTTATTTGGACATAAAACATTATTTTATGATTGATAAAATTATATTGTAATTTTTGAATGTATTATTTCCTATTTTGAATTTATTGTATTTGTTTAGGTGAAATCCGAAAATAAATATGGAAAAATTCAAAATGAACTTTATTAAACTTGGAAATATTATTTCTAAGTTTAATAAGGTTTGTTGATAAATATATTTTACAAAATAATATTAGTTAGTAATTAAATAAATATATATTTATATACGTACTCAGTATTATTACTGAAATATTATATATATTTATATATTTGTATTTTAATTAAATAAATGACTAATATATATTTTGGAAAGTTATATCCCAGTAGGAAAAGAATTGTTTTTCAAAATATTAAATTTTTATAATTTAATGTTTTCGAAAATAGTTTAAATTGCTTTTTATAAGTTATTGAGTTTTAACTAATATATTTTAGAAATAATGATTTATAAATTTTGGAAATTTTATTTCCTGGTTTATAAATGTTAAAAATAAGTGGTGGAAGTTGAAATTTTATTTTCATGATTTTTGCAAAATTGTTTCAAAATTTTAATTGCCTTTTTGAAAATAGTTTTGCAAAAAGGGCATATTGGTCATTTGTAATATTCTGGATTTTTTTATTCTAGCCGAGTATCCAGAATATATAAAATGATTTTAATAAAATTTTAGTAGACTTCTTTGGACATCTAATTTAATTTTATGAGTTTTATAAAATAGTTACTATCGTAGTATTTTTCTAGGAGTCTCTAGGGTGAGCGCGGCTCACCCGGTGTATGTATATCTCTATTGCCTGTGTGAATGTATCATATGCATGGTGGATGATTGTGGCTATAGTTTATTTGATTAGAATACGGCCTGCGTGTCGTGCATTATCTCTCAAACTCTTGTTGTAAATCTATTTCTATCTCTTACCTCAACCGAGGATTTTTTTCTCACGTGGTGGTTAGAAGACGAAAAGATTTGAAGTCCGTTTTGAATAAATCTAAAGGAATGGAAATAGCCCGAATTCCAAGTGCCCGGAAGCCAGTGGGAGCTATCATTTTAATTTTTCTTTTAGGGGCCACAATCATTACACGTTTATTTACTACATTTTTGAATGCATGTTGAATGTATGTTGAACGCTAGTAATGGACATGTGTGCGCCCATGTCGATAGGTGAGATCGAAATTATAAATCCATCACGAATATTAAGTATGTTTCCTTCTGACGGCCGGCACCTATTCGGTTAATGTGCATTGTCATGTACTCAGCCTTAGCAGAGCATAGTACGGTGTATGTTAAGCTGGTTACGGGAACCGCCATAGCATGGTCGCTGTCGCACGTTGGGTTAGACTTAACTGAGTCTCGGTAAAATGGATGGACGACTCAGAGGCATTATGTGGGGGTCATCAATGACATGTCGGATTATTTTACTCACTCATCCAGCTAGGAGATGGATCTTTATGATTTAATTGAAACTCTGTTCCTAACCAAAGTAGTCTCTTGTAAAACGTGCCTCAGCCAATTACAAGTATGGTGAAAAGGTGTCCTGGTCCGATTGTAGTAATATTGTTCGCCCCCAAGAGCTGAGAGCCCGGCTCATCAGTTTGAACTGTGTTCTTACCTAAATAGTTGTCTTGTGGAGTAAGGCCTAAGCGGAACGCAAGATAATGAAATATGGATCTTGGCCCACTAGAGGTTTCGCCGGAAATCTCCGAATCAATATCGAGGGTTATTGATTTGTTAAAAATAGTGGGAGATAATTAATTAAGGGCCTAACTAATTATTAAACATGATAGATAACCTAATTTGCAAAATTTTCTGTAGATGGCAAACAACAACAACCCTTTCAACCTGCGATATGTTCTAGAAAAAGAAAAAGTATCTCGAACTAACTTTCTTAATTGGAAGATAAATCTTAAGATTTTTCTCGAACGCGAGAAAAATCTCTACGTCCTTACCTCTGAGCCTCCCAAAGCTCCTGAAGCGAATGCCCGTGCTGCGGAAATTACTTCGTACAAGAAGTATGAGGATGACGCACGCGATGCGAGATGTCTCATGCTAGCCACCATGACCCAGGAGCTCCAAAGGCTCCACAAGGACATGGAAGCTCATCCTATGATGACTCGCTTGAAAGGTCTGTACCAAGGCCAGGCTAGACATGAGCGTTTCAAAATCTCTACGACTATGTTTTCAGTAAGCTGGCAACGGGTAACCCAGTTGGTCCCCACGTTCTCAAGATGATCGGTCAGATCGAAACTCTTGAAAAACTGGATGCCCCGTTGCACCCTATGCTGCCAACTGATCTCATCATGGGATCACTACCAGCTGAGTATAGTCAAACTGTAGTGAACTTCTACATGAACAAACTAGAGATGACTATGTGTGAGCTACTGAAATTCATCACAACTGCTGAGGAGAGTCTAGGGAAGGGCAAGGGTAAGTCTGTCCTAATGGTAGAGGATAGTACTATTGTGAAGAAGAGTGGGTCACGTTCGCCGGCCGGGACCAAGCGCAAGGGTTCTAAGAAACCCAATCCAGCGTCCAAGTCCTCTTCGTTGAAACCCAAAGTAGGTGTAACACCCTAATCCGTACAGGTCTGCAGCCACTTTCGGACTAAAGTATTTAACTTGGTAATCGTAAAAAATTTAAAACTTTTCAAACACTTTTATTTATCACAATCATATTTTTCATAACATATACAGTACGGAGTATTCAACAATATTGCGGAAGCGAATTTAATTTTTACATATCATAAATCATTTCAAACTTGTCACATCCATCCCGACAATCTCGCCCCATCTGCCGCCAGGATCACATTATGCTTTTTGTTTACCTGCGTGTAGCAAATAAAACGCACTACACGCTCAGCGGTAAAATTGAGTAAGCATATCTAATGCGTCGAACATCCATATAAACTAAATCTAAATTCATAATCAAATCATTTGATATCATGCACACAATGTTCATTTCAGACATTCACAGTTTTGATATTATTCAGTTCATATCAACACATTTTATTCAATTCAGATATTATTCCAACAGTGCCTTTAAATTATTCTTAATCTAAGGCCAAATAATAACAATGCTCTTAGCTATTCTTAGTCTAAGGCCAAATCATAACAATGCTCTTAGCTATTCTTAGTCTAAGGCCAGATCATAACAATGCTCTTAGCTATTCTTAGTAAGACAATTATTAATTAGATAGTTAAACTATCATTAGTTTAAGGCTAATGATTTCGGACACTTAACTGTAGTCAGTTAAGGCAATCGGACACTTAAACTATCATTAGTTTAAGGCAAATGATTCGGACACTTAACTGTAGTCAGTTAAGGCAACAACAATATAGCGATTGATCAACATTGGATCGGGCATTCCCAAACGAGTAATCCTCTAGTTTTGTCTACGAATCCCGTTTATACATTTTTATCTAAGTCATCAAATATTCATGTTTTCATAAGTCTATTCTAATACAAGATCTATTCTAAAGGTCATCCAGATAGCCTTAACATCAATTAACTAATGGGTATATCTTAGAGTTCTTCTAGATACCGTTAACAATATAAATCGTTTAATAATTATCAATATATTCATCATGGTTCAATCATCAATAATAATTTTAATCTGTAAGTTCATCATTCATAATCATCCATAATAATCATTCATCATAATCATCAATCAACATAACAATTGATAACAAATAGCGGTCTAGTTTCGAGTGTTAACACCCGAACTTACCGTCATGCATCACATAACATTTTTATTTGTTCAAAACATCATTTTTATTCTAAAGAATCATCCTTAAGATAATCATAATCAATTGGTATCAAAAATAGGATTTTAGAGCTCAAAAATAGCATTTTCAGACAAATTTTCGGATCAGAAATTCGGGGGATCGATCCAGCCCTCTAGATCGATCCATACTATGAAAAATCACTTCAGGGCATCGATCCAAGCCGCTGGATCGATCCAGACAGTGGTGTTTCAGCCACTGTTCATCTTCTTCTTCTTTCGGGTCCAATTCCGGAAATACCGTTTTTAGTTATCGAACTTCAACGAAACTATATAGAGATGTTCTCCAAGGTTCATAGATCATTTTGGAATCATTAATTCATAGTTTTAACATCAATTTCATGGTTTATGATTCTTGGTTTTTCAAGCATGTCAAACACAAAACTCAACCAAACGACCGTTTATGAACGTGGAAACGATCTATATGAACATTCTAGTCACTAGATATATCTACGGGCTTACCTCGATGGTAAATGAAGGTTTTGAATATTTTCCGGTGAAACTTCCGGCGAGGATTGTGGCTTTCTTCGGCGACCTCGCACCAATACGACAGCACCACTGCGTTCTCCTCACTCCCAGCAACAGATTAGATAGAAAGTTTGTAAGAAATGGTGAAGAATGGAGGGAGTTGTGGTAGTCTTTTATAGGAGAAGGAAGAGGAAGAAGACACGGTGATTCTACTGTTTTGGCGTCTCAGTGGAGCGGACGGCCTATCTTTACGATTCCAAACGCAAGTCCCTAATTGGGACTAATTTGGTCCCAGTCGGGTAACACTTTTTGGTCCAACTTTCTCCGAATTGAATTTTGTTTGCACCATTGCGATTAGAGTGTTAAACTCTATCCAACAATATAATTTTTATATTTATTTGTAACACTTTTCTGACATCTTATTTTTGGGTGTGTGACTTTAACAGAGTCAAAATTGGTTTAATTGACCTTTCTCATAAAAGGTTCTCATTTAATTCATATCAGTTATTCTCATGATTTATTTTAAGAAATCATTTCAATATTTACATTCTAAACAAATTCTTTATTTACTCTTGATTTGGGTCTATACTCAGGTTCACAAACAAGACCATACAAATAGTCCACATACTGGATTTATCTCTATGAGACTTATCCAGATTTTGATATTGGATGTCAAAACACATTTCATATCAGCCCAAAGCACAACAATAATTTATTTTAATCAAAACAAATTTGATTAATTGATTGTTTATTCATTAATAATTCTAGGGTATGTTTTGGGGCGTTACATTTCTCCCCCCCTTAAAAGAATTTCGTCCTCGAAATTTTTCTAAGGTCCACAATGAACATCTTGTTGTATTCATATCTAATCATGATTGCGTCATGTCCACAGGGTTACGTCTCATAGATACGCATTCTCAAATCGTTGATTTCACCAAGCTCGTTCAATCTTCGAAAGATTAACAATTTTCAATTAAGCAAGGTCTTCACTGATCCTTTGATGACAAAAGTTCCTTCATAGTGTATACTATTGCATACTTGACATATTTGTACATAACTTCATTCAATCAAGAGTCTCGTTTGTACATCATCAAAAACGATTGAAAATTTCGTCAATACCTTTTGTAGAAGGGTCACATAGGCATAGTTGGAAACTTGGAGGTTATTTCAATTCATACGTCGTAACGTAATCTTTTATGTTTTTCAAGGGGTCGTTGTCTTAGGCATTAACCAATTTGACTTTTCGTCTCAGATTTGAATGTACTTCAGGATAGTGAATCTAACTGTTCATGAATCTCAATATGTCATATCCTCAGCAGACTGCGGTATGAGTGAGTACGTCGTTGTCAGTAGGAAATTCGAATCCATCCTTGCTGTACAAATTTCGACTNAGGATAACTAACCCTTTTCAAAGGTCAGGTTTTCAGATCCTATATATATCACGATTGTGGCAAGAGTATCTCACATTCTCAAATTATGGAAGGAACTTCTCGAACTTTTCCTTACACCATAAAATTCATTGGTCTACTTGGTAGTCATGCTCTTGGTAGAAATCCAAAGTTCATGGCTACGACGGTAGATTTAGGAAGGGAATTGGTAAGGCGAAAAATTAGGCTTACCCAATGGAGGAGGCAACGTTGGCCTTTAAGGAGCTGTTGCTTCAACAGTCTATACCAATGGTGGTATAGTTAGAGGCTTCATACTAGGGTACATAGCAGCACGATAGGTCTACGGACCTACATATGGTGCAGAGTACACCGTTTCCAGCAATTACTATATGTACTTCGAAATGAATCATGTTGTAGAAGCTTTCATCATACTTCCCGGGGGAATTGATATTATAGAAGGTTTGTTCACTTTGATCTCATGGGCATATGAAGGGTTACACAGTAAACCCATTGGTCTCTTGAACATCGATGGTTATTTTAATAACCTAATCAAATTTCTAGATGATGCGGTGAGGCAGAAAAAGGGAAGGAACAAGCTACCACGTCAAAGCCGGTAGTAGAAAAAGAAAAAGTGCTGACGATAATAAGTGTAACAAACCTGGTCACTCGCTAGCTGAGTGTAGCGTGGATTTAAACAAACCTCTTTAGACTGTTTAACGTCTCTCTCCGACTTAATCAATCAGCTTTTAATAAAAGTTATTATTCTCTGCTAGGAGAAGAGTTATTTAATATTCAACATTTATCCCAAAAAGTACACTGAAGGTCTTGTTCAAACATGAGTTTTGAAACAATTGACGAAAAGGAAAGATTAACATGATTAATATCAGAATTCTACAAATGTCTTGTTAATAAGTGACTTACTGGGAACGGAACTAATATCAGAAGGGGCTGTAGACCCGGAAAAATAAGAGTGTTGGATTCTGTTACCATTTGGACATGAATAATTTAAATGGATAAATATATAAAGTGTTTCTTCCCTATTTTTTGTTATAAATAAAGGTTACATTCGATTCGGATGTGTTATGGGTAACATTGGATCCTGTACAAGGATTACAACCGAATGGTTTTGCCACTCGAAAACCACAGAGCATTGGATTTTTGGGTAAACTGGTGTTACTAATAGTTACACATGAATGGGTTAGAATGAGAAGTACTTGATATCATCGAATACATCTTTCGTAAATCCTATCCTCCCGAATTAAATTTTCCATCCGCTCAAAACATATTTCATAAACGAGAAAACGACTAGGGTAATCAAATCTCATCATAATGTGAAATACGATCGGACATCGTTGTAGGATTTCTTTCCTTACTTAAATTTCACGGACGAAATTTTATTAATAGGGAGAGAGTTGTAACGCCATGAAAACCGGTCTAGAAGAATTAACTACGTAAGCCACCGATTTTGACCGTGTGGGCCCTAAAAACCGTCTTCTTGTTTAGTGGGTAGCCAACATTGACAATCACCTCCACCTCTCTCATTTGGCTAGACATGGTTGAAGTGATTGGGTGGTTGTGATTGTGATGCATTAACCTCCACTCTCCTGCACTTCCCAATATAATGGAATAGAAGTGTCCTTCATTCATCAAATTTTGAGACTTAAGAAATCCCTGCAAGTTCCACTCTTTCTTCTCTAAGCTTTTTCCACCATTAATGGAGTTTTGGGAAGAAAACTCTAGGTAAGTTGTTATGTTCCATCCTATCGTTATTATACTCATTTTAATGCTCTCCTTACGCCATAAAACTCTGCGATATCAAGGTTCGAAGAGAAGACCTCAAGAAAAGGAAAGCTAGAAGTAGATAGTGACGTCCATTCGTTGAACGTACGTGAGGTGTTAAGATCATTGTGTTCCCCTACGAACTCTAAGGTCTGTATCCCAGAATCGTTCCGGCGTGAGATTCCTTAGAATCATTCATAATACATGATTTCATATACCTACATGTCATTTTATGTTTGTCATATCGATAGTCTCGATAAAACGCTCAACTAGATACCCATGAATCGTCGATGACGGAGAATGCCCAAAATTGTGCCTAAAATATTCCTACACAACTTAGAGATTCAAAGTAGAGTATATAATCAATATATACACTTTTGGAACCATTCCGTAGCTTAAAACGAACCCAAAAATGCATAGGAACCGTCAGTGGATCAATCCCTGAAGTAGGATCGATCGTCTGACGATGGAAAAGAGCCCCAGAACCCGTTTTTAAGGTTCGGGGGATCGATCCAAGCCTCTGAATCGATCCTCTGGGGTAAAGTTTACTAAAACGCAGGTTTTTAAGAGTCGGGGGATCGATCACCCCTTCGAAGATCGATCACCCGACGTTCCAACTCGGATTTGAACCGTTTTTCGATGTCATATGGATAATAAATCTTTGGTATTTGTTTGATGGGTTTATAACCATAATTTAACTTCCAAAAACACTAAAAATGGATGTTTTTTTTTACTAAAAGAACTCTAATGCCAACAATTGATTCGATCACTCCTTCGAGGATCGATCACCCGACGTTCCAACTCAAATTTTAACTTCCAAAAATACTTAAAATGGATGATAAATGTTTGGTATTGGTTTGATTGACTTATAAACATATTATAACTTCCAAAAGTATTTAAAATGAATGTTTTGGACTAGAAGGACTCTAATACCAAAATTGAGTATGTCAAATTATATTTTCCAAGATGTGTTATTAATCAAATGATATCATTGGACGGGTTAGACTAAAAAAAATTATAATACTATATTATGTGGGTTAAACTTGAGTTCCCCACATGATCCAATCCATGAACATGATTAAATGATTTACAGTGATTAAAAGAGATATTTTGGATGATATTGTGTTGGAGACTTTATGGTAAAACTTTATAAACTCAAATTCGTAGAAGTGATGATTTTGATGGCGACATTAATAACCAAAAAGGTATTTTTGGTTAGTTTAAATCTAGATTATTTCTAGTGGTAAATAGTATGGATTTGAGTGTACAGATGTGGGCGATATTAGGAGTTGAGTATGTACGTACATAAGGTCTTAGAACCGGTCAGGCGCCCGGGGATCACTCAACCCGTGTGTCCAGAACCAGAAGAGTATTTATACCCAGACTAGGAAATGCCACGGAACAAATTCTGAACCTGAAGAGAAGGGCGCTCAGACCCAGACTCAGACACGGGAAGTCTTATCGAGCCTACCTCTACAGGGAACGACTCAGTATGGCGTGAGGATAAAATAATAATGGTTGAAAATAAGGGATATCACTATTATTGTATAGTGATTGGTAAAATTAAGGATGATGGTTTATTATTAGATATGGATTTGTTTCTATATGAAATGATGGAAAAATAATGGTTTGTCAGTTGAGGAATAAAGTGTATTTGGAAATAATACTCTTGTTTTTAATGACTACTTTGGATACGTATTATTATACGAAGAGATGTTCT